TGACCTACATTTTATGATGTTTTTGTGCTCATATTGGCATACTTGAATAGTTGTTTGGAATATTTGGTAGGATTGTATGATAGAATATATTCATATTTATCTCGAGGCAGATACAGAAAACTGCATAGCGGGATACGGTCTTCATATCAGATATGGGATTAGCAGTCAGATAGGTCAAATATCTCATGGTTTGGTGTTGGGGATCATAGGTTGACTTCTTTCTTCAGTAGCATGAGCGCAACCGTTTTTAATATAAAATGACTTTTTCGCCGTTCAGAAGTTGCAAGAAATCGATTTTTAGTTCACGCGATGTTATTGATGCATGGGCTTTCTTATCAGTCAAAGATGACAAACGAGTACACGAGAAATTATGAAACGGCTTGGTCAAATAATATAGGTTTTGGTTCTTTTAATTTTCTCGACCATATAATCCGATCACCACATTCAAATACATGTCACAATTTCGAAACCTTTTTTAAAAACTTGTTTACATACTCGCTGAAATTATGGATTTTGTGCGATGTTGACGTTGGATGGTTGGATATGATGGGTGACGTAGGGTGACTAAGAGTTATGAACGACTTTTCATCTCACCGCGGATGTGATTCCTTTTTCTGCAACCTCTACAACTTGGAAAGAATGGGAATATTGATGACATTATAGCATCCGCACACCATAACAACGGACAATGTCTTGTTACAAAACGGTTGGTGCTTCGGTTTTTGCATGGTGCAAACGTTTTAAATTAGTTTACCACCGCATCTCCGAATGCGATGGGCAGGTTCAAAGATTCAAATCCTTTGGGATAATCACATGCAAGAGGACTGCTGGTCTCTAGAAAGTGGTTCATGTAATCCCCGGTCGATTACAACTTCCTCCGACGTCAAGTCCGCGCACCGGAATTAAATACCTGGTTGGCTATTTTTATGGACTCGTAACCCTGTCCTAAGGCCGTGTCGCGCCGTATGAATAAACCATTCTATCGGCCTTCCCTCTCCCCGGAATAAATAGGACAATTCTATCCAATATGACATAATTCGAATCTTTGCATTGAAATGGTTTATTGAACTCTATATTGAAATGTGTCTCGTCAAGAAAAAAAAGGCTCTAATTGATCAGGTGCAGTATCACCATATTCTGTACCGGTATTTTCCTTATCACTTTGTTGACTATATATTTGTTTTCGGCCTATGACACGGTGCCATAATACAAGACTAATTCCCTTTTGATGCTTGTTCTCGTACCACAATAACGATGAGTGTTATCAGATTATTCCACCAACCACGTTCAACTGATGTAAGTTGAAGATTGTTCAAGTTTCAAGTTTCAAGTTTGTTCAATTAGGGAAAGATTTTTAAACCTGAAAACTAAATTTCTGGTATATGTGTTAAGTTGTTCTGATGTCTTACTAATTATCAATGTAAAACTTGTATTTACTGCTTTGTTGACGTATAAGATTAATGTTTTCAGAAAAAGAGGTAAAAATTGATACTAAACCAGAAGTGTTTAAATTCTGAACAGTAAAATGCGCAGCCAATCTTTCAAAGGGATAACGGGCAAACCACGAACATGCTGACAATCGAACCACGGGCATACTGTCCACATTTTATTGGTCTCGAGTCCGTGTAGAATTATATTAAATATTAATTAGTTAGCATATCACATATTTTTTTCAGAAGTTTAGTCAACACGAAGGATGGATGATGGCTCATGGCTTTACTGTTGCCTGTTGGTGCCAGTAGAGAATGGAGCCTTAAGGCAGCTACATCGCTCCACTAGTCTGGGGGCTCACCCAGAAGGGACAGCACCCCCTAAACCTCCCTTACTGGCGTAACAGGTAAATTTTGTTCAGATAATTTTATCAATTTCTTTTTTTATCGGACAATTTGGATTTTCATTAGTGTAAATGCATCAAATGTGTTTTATTTATCATTAGACCATTAAATATGCTAAACGACATGCTCAGATATAAAATTATCAGTTACTGATTACATATATATATACGCAATGTATGTTTTTGAGATGTATGTATAGTGTATGTACCTTATTATGAATAAATATGAATGAATATGAATAAATCTCAAACTTTAAGAATATTTTGTTTCCTTTGTGTACGTCGATCGAATGATATATGATATACGATTTTTCACCTATGCCGATATATGCGAAACAGGCTTTTTCAGCAATGGATTACGCACAATTTTAAAATTTTGTACCCATCGACTCAAGTTGTTTTGTGTAGACTTTTAGAACCTTATTAATATCAAATAATAAAATCTCTCCCCACTTGGGCGGAAAGCGATGTGACTAACGTTTGAAAAGTGTATATATTTACGATTTTTGACCTATGCCGATATTTGAGAAATAGGCACTTTTCAGCAATGAATTACGCATAATTTTAAAATTTTGTACCCATCGACTCAAGTTGTTAGGTGTAGACTTTTAGAACCTTATTAATATCAAATAATAAAATCTCTCCCCACTTGGGTGGAAAGCCATGTGACTATCGTTTGAAAAGTGTATATATTTACGATTTTTAACCTATGCCGATATTTGAGAAATAGGCACTTTTCAGCAATGGATTACGCATAATTTTAAAATTTTGTACCCATCGACTCAAGTTGTTTTGTGTAGACATTTAGAACCTTATTAATATCAAATAATAAAATCTCTCCCCACTTGGGCGGAAAGCGATGTGACTAACGTTTGAAAAGTGTATATAATTACGATTTTTGACCTATGCCGATATTTGAGAAATAGGCAATTTTCAGCAATAGATTACACATAATTTTAAAATTTTGTACCCATCGACTCAAGTTGTTATGTGTAGACTTTTAGAACCTTATTAATATCAAATAATAAAATCTCTCCCCACTTGGGCGGAAAGCGATGTGACTAACGTTTGAAAAGTGTATATAATTACGATTTTTGACCTATGCCGATATTTGAGAAATAGGCAATTTTCAGCAATAGATTACACATAATTTTAAAATTTTGTACCCATCGACTCAAGTTGTTATGTGTAGACTTTTAGAACCTTATTAATATCAAATAATAAAATCTCGCCCCTCTTGGGCGGAAAGACATGTGAGTAATGTTTGAAAACTGTATATAATTACGATTTTTGACCTATGCCGATATTTGAGAAATAGGCACTTTTCAGCAATAGATTACACATAATTTTAAAATTTTGTACCCATCGACTCAAATTGTATTGTGTAGAGTGTATGAATCTTTTTTATATCAATCAATAAAATCTCGCCCCTCTTGGGCGGAAAGACATGTGAGTAATGTTTGAAAAGTGCATAAATTTACGATTTTTCCCCTATGACGATATAGGCGAAATAGGCTTTTTTCAGCAATGGATTACACATAATTTTAAAATTTTGTACCCATCGACTCAAATTGTATTGTGTAGAGTGTATGAATCTTTTTTATATCAATCAATAAAATCTCGCCCCTCTTGGACGGAAAGACATGTGAGTAATGTTTGAAAAGTGCATAAATTTACGATTTTTCACCTATGACGATATAGGCGAAATAGGCTTTTTTCAGCAATGGATTACACAATTTTAAAGTTTTGTACCCATCGACTCAAATTGTATTGTGTAGAGTGTATGAATCTTATTTATGTCAATCAATAAAATCTCGCCCCTCTTGGGCGGAAAGACATGTGAGTAATGTTTAAAAAGTGCATAAATTTACGATTTTTCACCTATGACCATATAGGCGAAATAGGCTTTTTTCAGCAATGGATTACACATAATTTTAAAATTTTGTACCCATCGACTCAAATTGTATTGTGTAGAGTGTATGAATCTTTTTTATATCAATCAATAAAATCTCGCCCCTCTTGGGCGGAAAGACATGTGAGTAATGTTTGAAAAGTGCATAAATTTAAGATTTTTCACCTATGACGATATAGGCGAAATAGGCTTTTTTCAGCAATGGATTACACATAATTTTAAAATTTTGTACCAATCGACTCAAATTGTATTGTGTAGAGTGTATGAATCTTTTTTATATCAATCAATAAAATCTCGCCCCTCTTGGGCGGAAAGACATGTGAGTAATGTTTGAAAAGTGCATAAATTTACGATTTTTCCCCTATGACGATATAGGCGAAATAGGCTTTTTTCAGCAATGGATTACACATAATTTTAAAATTTTGTACCCATCGACTCAAATTGTATTGTGTAGAGTGTATGAATCTTTTTTATATCAATCAATAAAATCTCGCCCCTCTTGGGCGGAAAGACATGTGAATAATGTTTGAAAAGTGCATAAATTTACGATTTTCCACCTATGACGATATAGGCGAAATAGGCTTTTTTCAGCAATGGATTACACATAATTTTAAAATTTTGTACCCATCGACTCAAATTGTATTGTGTAGAGTGTATGAATCTTTTTTATATCAATCAATAAAATCTCGCCCCTCTTGGGCGGAAAGACATGTGAGTAATGTTTGAAAAGTGCATAAATTTACGATTTTTCACCTATGACGATATAGGCGAAATAGGCTTTTTTCAGCAATAGATTACACATAATTTTAAAATTTTGTACCCATCGACTCAAATTGTATTGTGTAGAGTGTATGAATCTTTTTTATATCAATCAATAAAATCTCGCCCCTCTTGGGCGGAAAGACATGGGACTAATGTTTGAAAAGTGTATGTTTTACGATATTTATTTTTAAAGTAATTACTCGTGCTGCATTTTTTTAGTTTAAAACTCATATTTATAGGCTGTTGTTTGATGATTCGCACTTTATACATTTTTTTGGCACGCACTTATTGTTCCAATTCACAGAAATACCGAATATAACTTTATTTTTGTATTTCCATATTCATTCGCTTCCCAAATGTGTATGGGAATTTAGTCCCGCCTCCGATTCTGATATGATATTTGAACTTTTCGCTTGGTTGCACACAAAGGTCACCGTGAGAGTCACTTCACAGTGGTGTTAAACCAACTTGCTTGGTGATTTTGACTGCAATTTCCGAGTAAGGTTAATTAGTTGCATTTCTTGTTTTTTGCTTAGATGTAACAATTGTGTTTTGGATTAGTTGGTACTTCGCTATTTGTCTTCATATTTTAAAAGGAAATTAGGTAATGGCGGCGGTCTTGAGAAAATGTGTGAGCACACTGCAACGGAATAATTTTCTGGGTAACCTTCTCAAGGTGAGATAATTGTATGATAGGATACGATTTACATATTTATTCCGGGGGAAGGAGGGTTGATAAAATAGCTTAATCATATGGCGAACCACGGCCTCTCGTCCACTTGGTGCGGCGGTGTGGCTCACTTAGAAATACGCTCGCCACCGCACCTCTAATTACTCTGCGTGGGTTTGCAGGTTCGAATCCCATGCAGGGATGGTTATGTGCGAGAGGATTGCTGGACTCCTCGCCGCCGTTGGGTGGTTCACGTAACCGCTGGTCGGTTACCTGGTTTCGGCTTCCTCCACCACCAAGTCCATGCTTCCGAAAACAAACAATATATCTTCTCCCATACCGGACCCGACTTGGAATGGTAACCGGACGAGAGGCCGTGGTTCGCCATATGGATAAGCCGTCTTATCGGCTTTCCTCTCCCCTGGGATAAATATGTAAATCCTATCCTACCGTACCAGTCCATGTCCGATATGGAATTAGTTAGTTCTGTAGTTATTTGTTTTCGGAAGCATGCATGGACTTGATGGTCTGATGGTGGAGGAAGCCGTGACCGCTGAACTGACCAGCAGTTACGTGAAGCGAGGAGTCCAGCAATCCTCTCGCACATAACCATCCGCGAATGGGATTCGAACATGCGAACCCTTGCAGAGTAATCCTGTAATCCGAGGTGCGGTTGCGAGCGTATTCTTAACGCTTAGCACGATGAGCCATTATTTATTTAGACTACTTTTTAATTCTTCATGTCTAAATTTATGAAATTGCTGTAACTGCGATATGCAAATAATATTTATCATTAAATTAGCTGACATAGTAATATCACATTAGACTATTTGGGTAATGTGGTAACTCAGTAACTGTTCAAATAACGTCTAACAAAAATGCAACAACCTATCAAACCTAGACAAAGAGCGCACTGGCTTAAGGTTTACATGAATTGCTAAATGCAGTAATGTAACTTTGAGAATGAGGGAATAGGTTAATGCTGTTTAGTGGATAATTGTACTCTTTTATTAAATTTAACTTCATTGAAGTTATCTCTTCCCATATGACAATAATGACTACTAATATTTCTTCCAGGCTACTACTGTAAATGGAAGCTTGGCCTCCAGCACCAAAAGGCATTTGTCCATTCATGAATACAACAGTTTTGGAATACTGAAAAATGCTGGAATAAGAATTCCTGAAGGTACTGTTGCAAGTACACCTGAAGAAGCTTTTGAAGTTGCCCAAAACTTGCGTAAGTAATCGTTTTGTTAAATAACAAACTGGCACTGTTGACATTGACATTTTTCTTAATGACAATGTGGTTTATGTCATGTATTGAGTGGAATAAATTACAAAGTTTCATGATAAGCTACTGAGCAATTCATATATGAAACTGCTGATGCTTTTATTCGAAGCCTTGTATCTTTTATTTTACTCATCATTTTTTGTATTATTTTACAGCAACCCGAGACGCAATTGTCAAAGCTCAAGTACTAGCAGGTGGAAGAGGCAAGGGACACTTTACCGGTGGCCTACAAGGAGGAGTTCAAATAGCATATTCGTAAGAATACAGTGATTAATACAATGTTTTTATTTCCTACAAAGAGGAGTTCAAATAGCATATTCTTAGAATACAGTGAATAATACAATGTTTTTATTTCAAGGGTGTCAATTAATTTATTTTAATTAGATATATTGGATGGTTTGTTTTACTAAATTTTATACAATTACAAAATTTGCATGTAAAATTTATCGAACATCTGGAATGCATGAACCTATGAATACTGTGTGGATGTTTAGTTTTCTATTGTGCTGCATAATAAAATTGATGTTCTTAGTCATATAATTTGGCTTCAGATTCTACTGGGATAGGTAGAACCATGCTGGTAGTTTTTGTAAAATTGCTCATATTTGCTAAGTCTGTTTTAATTAAATCCTTCAAATATATATCGTATCATTGACGGTAAATCAACCAACCACCTCAGCTGCCCACTGATGACGGAATAGCAGTTGGGATCAAGGGTGGAATAAAAAAGCGTTTTATTTATGATAGTTATAACTAGAGATGTATCGGTATCGGCAATATCGGCCATTTTTTCGGTGTCGGTCATGTAAAGTTATCGGCTAAATTAATACCGATATTTCCGATATATTTATCTTTTTGATATGATTCAGAATGTTTTGAAAGTTAATTTAAAACTACCTTTCAATTTATTTTTTGCCTGGAGAGAACATGAACTATGAGCCATGCATGTCCCTACCCCTGCGAGTAGTAACGGGAATAGAATTTACCTATTTTTAACTATTTACTTGCCGAACTAGCTCAACTAATTTGGCTATTTTTGGTGCCAAATTTTCATATTGACATTTTTAATATTGCTCCATGAGTTGAATAATTAATTAGTTCATCATATAATGAGTTTAGAGAAAGGTGATCGAAGTAAATCAAGAGTAGACGTATTTCCTTACCCACAACAACGTTAAACCAGATTGTCTGGTGTGTTTTCAAGTAATATCCGGCTGGAAAAAATAATTTCAAGCGAAACTGAAAAACCAAACAAAAGAAAAGATACTGAAAATACCACTATATTTCTTGTAAAGCAATTTTAAAATAACTAAAGGCTTCATATATCTTATTTAAAGGACTGATTAGAACACTAAACTCTCATTCTTACATATATTTAAAGTGAGTGAACTCACTATGTTTTGATCACTTTTGGGTTTTCTCCGACTGCGGCCCGCGAGACCTCTTCAATACTTTTTGCGGCCCTTCAACATCGCAAACTTGGACCACCCTGAATTAAAGCATCTGGATACCAAGCATCCATTTCATATTATGTGATATATGTCTTTTTCAATCGGAAATAATTTGTACTATGAATGTTGCTCAAATACCATTGTTTAACCCAGTGTTTTCCAACCCGAGTCCGTGGTCTTAAATGAGTCCGCGGAGCGTTTGAATGAGTCCGCAACGAGCCAGAAATTTACTGCGGGTCGTTCGCAAACGTTTTTGCGAAATTTAACTATCAGCCAAGTTACAATTTACGTTAGAATTTGCATAACACATGAAAAGCAAGTTTATGCACATCACACTAATCGAGTCTATGCTTACTGAATACTGAGTAGGATTAGGCATATATTCGAATATTCAACTATTAGAATATCAATTTACTATTGGGAAATTTGGTAACAGGTGACGCGACAGTTCACTTGTGCGTCGCTTAATCAAACGATTGGATTTCACAACTCACTTGCGGATTTCTGACGAAAACACGAGTCGGCACACGCGTGATTAGATACCCACGTAGTGTTTCTCGCGAGCTCGAACAACGAGGAACAATTTATTTCTGGTAGGTGTCAATGGTGGAGAACAGCACAAGTTTTGTTTTATGATGGTCTGCGACCGAAAAAAACGCTTTTTTAGACATTGCAAATCGCAAAATCTCGGGTGCTACCGTAGTATACGTACCGGGGCATTTTCCTTAAGATTCTTCACTTATTGCCTCCACATTGGTACGTACAGTAGTGGAGCGCTGTAAGTGTCATATTAACAGCTCAGATTTGTCGAATTCACAAAAATCACGAACCAAAACAAAACATAATCGGGCACTTTACCACGCATGTTTGTGCCCACGGATTGTCATGATATTTTCTGAGTAGTAGTGCATTTATTTCGGCAATACAACAGCAGATTAAAATGATAACAAATGAATTAATATTAAATCAAGGCGATGAATATTTTTTTATATTATTTACTAATATACTTTAATTATATATTTAAGAAGTACTTAATCAAGTTGTATATTCTGGAAATTTATAGCAGATTGTAGGATTTTTCTAACGGCGATAACAAACTCCCAAGATCGCAAAAAAATATGTATCAAAACTAAATACTAGATAGCGATCGGAGACCAACACGTGTGTAACATACGCAAGTGTCCAACAGACAAACGAGAATATCGGTCAGAGACCGAAGACTTATCAATCGAAAGTTAGGGGATCCCCAAAACAGTGCTCTTACTCCATAGTGACACCTTGTGTCCCATCACTAATTAATTAATAACTCGCTAATTATATGACATAATTCGCCAAAAATCAATAGGTATTTGGTCCGAGATATGATGAATGCACATGCAAAATCTGGAGCAGATTCAATCTCGCTTTCGTGAGATATCGCGTGCAACTAACAGACAGACAGACAGACAGACAAATACCTATCAACATACTTACCGGTCGAGATCGATAAGTAATAATCGGGCAATATATTCTCACATTATTATGTTCGCAGATTGTCGTGGCATTTCAAAGAAGTAATGCTTGTCATAGGTCGACGTAACCGCGAGTGACCATGAACACAATTAAATTAAAATAGAAAGACATTTTAAATTCTCGTCATTGTCATAGATTGAATATTGTACGACAGAAAAGGCCATTTATACACTAAAAAAGTCGGCTCTTTTAACAAACGCGTAACTGTGGCGATTTTGAAATTCTTTAAAATTCTGTTGTGTTTGGTTTTATTACTTCTTTGCGCAGAGTACAGTTGCAATAAACGCCGGTGATTTTCGCCGGTGAGAAAATAGTCCGCGACCAAAAAAGGTTGGGAAACGCTGATTTAACCCGTCACAGTACACTTAAATTAAGGTAATAATTACATAGTATCGGTATCGGCAATATCGGCCTTTTTGTAATATCGGTGTATCGGTATCGGCGTTTTTAGTTGGTATCAGATCGGCATTGGCGACAAAGGTGGTATCAGTACACAGTTATAACCTCAAACATGGGGGCGAATATACAAAAAAATTACATATATTAAGTAACTCTTATACCAAATCCAACGACGTCTCTTGACTATATAAATTGCTTGTACAGCCACATAGAGACATCAAGAAAGGCACTTTTGTCAACTGACGAGCAGATCGCGACCATAGATCATTTTGCCTCTCGACCTATCTCTGCTTATCCACATACCTTCACCCAAGTTCATTGCAAAAAGAATGGTGCGTTCATGCAGTGAGAAAAAAAGGTGTAAACAGTTATAGAGAACCAACATATTGTTAATACATGCTATTTTGAAGCAAATAAAATTTGAGTCATCGATGACAAGTTTTGACAAATATGAGTTTGTAAACATACCTCTCACAATCTAGTATGTTTGGCAGGGGTGTCTGTAAACATTCCCATCAGAACTAAAAAGTTTACATGAAATCTATTGGTCTGCATCAAAAAGTTTAATTTTTTCATTTCATTTCAGGCCCGAAGAAGTTCGTGATCTTGCAAAACAAATGTTGGGAAATAAACTTATCACAAAACAAACAGGAGAAGATGGCCTCGTTTGCAACAAAGTTCTTGTTGTTGAACGAAGATATCCAAGAAGAGAATTTTATTTTGCAATTACAATGGAAAGGGGCCTAACAAAATTTGTGAGTTGACATTTTGCTGATGGTTATGAACGAAAATTACCTTGTGAAATTTTATATGTTGCACCCATATGCATGATATTTCCAACTAACGGTAAATGGTAAATACAAAGAAAATTAATGTAAATGCTTGTATTAAAAACATATTTTTATGTTTGCCCCAAATGATTTCTGGCACCATGTTAGTTTCATGTTCAATATTCAATTCCCAGGGGCCTGTCATGATTGGCAGTTCGGCAGGTGGAATGAATATCGAAGAAGTTGCAGAGAAAACACCTGACAAGATTGTCAAGCAGTATATTGATATTATGCAGGGTATTCATTTCGCTTTGTTTTGTTGCCTTACCATTTTTTGTTCTCAATTGTTGTCTGCAATGAATCTTTTAATTAAGGTACAATTGTACAATTGTTTTTGCCTGTTTTCTTTTGTAATGCAACTATGAATTTGTATGTCTTCTGAAAGTAAAAAAACATAAATCATAAAGACTATTGGGAGCTCCTGAAGTATGCGTACCAAGATGGCGGACACTGGAACGTAGTATGTGTACCAGGTCACTTGGCTAGTCCTCGAACTCGTAATAGAACTAAAATAAGAAAAATTGGAATAAAATTATGGCCTGACCCTAACCTGGCAAACATAGGCCTACCACGTTCAGGTGTCCGCTATCTTGGTACGCATACTTCAGGAGTATCAACTATTGGAAATTCACCAAGCTGAATTTCTGAAGTGGAGAACGCTAATTGTGTTTCTGCTTAGAATAAAAATATTTTTTCTTATGTTAACTTGTTTTTTATTTCACAGGAATAACAAAAGAACAAGCTCTATCCATGGCAGAGAGCATGGGCATTCCACAGGCAGCTTGTGATGAAGCAGCTGAATATTTTATCAAACTTTACAATTTATTCTTAGAATCTGATGCGACTCTAATTGAAATTAATCCCTTAGCAGAAGATTCAGAAGGTCATGGTGAGTGAAATAAAGGATTAATACATTCTGATTTGAAAATTGATAGTTTAAATGCTGCCATTGTGATTTTTAGTTATGTATATATATCAAACATGAGCATCAAGATGAATGAAAAGGGTTTATTTTGTATAATGCTTTAACCCAGTCTTCGGTCACAGATAATCACACTTTAGCCTAGAGTCAAGAGTAAAAGCCGAATTGGAGTGAAAATTGTAAATATGCAGCTCATTGGGTGCGTTAAATTGTAAATACCTGATTGTTACTTATATCACGGATTCATGGTAACACATTGTGGAAAAATAAAACGAACTAGTGATGAGTGTTTTCAATACTATACATCAGAGTGATTCAAGGTTGTCGGCTACGGGGGCCACAAAATTATTTTTGCATAGTTTGGGGGTCACAATAGTGCCAAGAATTGGTGCCGGCATCCATCTTCATCTCACTGCCCTAAATACTAGTTTGATTAGAAGGGTCTCTGAAAGTCTCCTCTCAAAATGCTATTACAACTACTCATAGCACCATCATTATTAGAACAAGTATCCTCATTGATATAGAATTCATTTGCTTCCAAAGTAATATCATGATTGTGGCTCAATTTTTAAAACTGCTAGTAATGTTTTTCAGTTATATGTATGGATGCAAAATTAAATTTTGATGATAATGCTGCTCATCGTCAGAAATCAATATTTGAAATGCGGGACACATCACAAGAAGACGAACGTGATGTGACAGCAGCACAACTAAATATTAATTATATAGGCCTCGATGGAAAAATTGGCTGTCTCGGTATGGAACCTTTTCAATTATGTGATAAACAAATATATTGTCATTCTAACCTTATTTGGGATCTTGTTGTATCAATACGTTTACGTCCATTTTATTTAAAATTGAGATAACGTAACGAATATATCAATAACTTGAAAGATCGAAACTTTATTTTTGTTTGATTGATAATTTTTTGAAATCCTATATTATGGTAATGTACAACTTCCATTTCAGTGTTTGGATGATTGTTAGTTCAAGTAGCTTTTAGAATAGAAAAATTGTATTTTATTATTTATTTTTTCATTAGTAAACGGCGCAGGTTTGGCTATGGCTACCATGGATATCATCAAACTTCACAACGGTTCGCCTGCTAATTTTCTAGATGTAGGTGGTGGTGCGACTGCAACACAAGTCATGGAGGCTTTTAAATTAATCACTTCTGATAGTAATGTAAGGGAATCATGTTTACTATGCATTTTTAATTAACACACTCTTTATATAGATTAAACTATATTATCATTTAAATTGATGTGAGCTCGTTTTTCTGCTCAAATTGATATACTTATCCTATTTGCAGGTTCATGCTGTTTTGGTTAATATATTTGGTGGCATAATGAGATGTGATGTGATAGCCCAAGGAATTTTGAAAGCAGCTGAAACACTAGATTTGAAAATTCCAATTGTTGTCAGACTTCAAGGTATAAAATCTCTATTGTCAAATAATCAAGAGACTCTCACCTATTTTAATGAGAAATGCTGATGAGTGCTTGAAAGAGAATATCAAACTTGCAGATTATGTGCTGCCGTTATATAATAATCTGAAGAAAAAATTCAGTGGGATTGATTGTATCGCAAGTTTGATGCCATGATAGAAATGGTCAAAGTTGAAGATATTTTATTTCCAGAACTTGGTCAAATCTGTCATTTAAGACTTCAAATTCATTTGACTGTTTGGTGTAAACTTGCAGCTCTGTCAAGTAAATTCATGTTTGAATGGTCTTTCTATTCTTATTCATGTATCAATACAGGTACAAGAGTAGAAGATGCCAAAGCGCTCATTGCAACAAGTGGTCTTAGAATTTTAACCTGTGATAATTTAGACGAAGCTGCAAAAATGGTATGTTTTTTAACTTTAAATTTTTAATAAGATGACAAGGTGAATAGAATATTCACATGAAATTGTGACATATTCGTGTTTGGTCTACGAAACTGAATGACCTCACATTCGCTAGATTTTGCGTTCAGATGAGATTGACTTTGTTATGAGTGAAAGTCGATGATATTTAAAATTTGTATTTTCAAAGAACTCCGATATTTCGAATTACAGCATTGTTGTTGGGATTTTAATCATCTTGTGTGCTTAGAAGTTTGAAACAGTTCCTTCAAATAAGTGTACTAAAAGATTGAAGGGCGTACTACAGCAACAGAGTGTACTACAGAATGTTATATGAATACAAACTTATGCGCAACATATATCTGGTGGTGTTTCCCAAGTTTTTGTTATCTGTTTGTAATATTTGATTCCTTCCTACTGTTACTCTTTATAAAAGATTGCAAATTGGTTTGGACTAAGTAACTAAGGAAATGTTATTTAATCTGGAAATTTCCTAGCATAATATAGGTGGGCGAGGCAATTTTGTTGTTATTTTGGAATCATATCATGCAGAACATACTGGTACATGAACATAATTAACAATTTTTTTTTAAAATGTTCATCATATGCATGACACGTAACGCCATTATTATTTAAGTTTATTCCTTTCTAATGTGAAAATATTATGCAGTAATGCCAGGAATCTCATTTCCGCTAACAGCAGTTTAGCATTTTTATTCAGAACGACATAGGCAAGAAAGATATTCTGATTTTCAGGTTATGATAGTGAATACTTCACTTACTTAGTGTACAGTTTGAAATAAGTCGTGGTGGACATATGTATTTTCTTTGAGTCTTCATTCACAGAAAACCAACTATCCAGCGAATCGAGTGAACATAAGAATGTACAGTATGAAGTGACTTCAGAACAGTTTCTGAAAGGGCTTTTGGTAAAAATGGGCAACCGAATTGTTGCATTGGGAACCATTCAAAGAAAAAAGATTGGTATTGCAAAAAAACTGAAATGGACTAACGAGTATATTTCATAGGGATTTTATTGCACAGAAAAAGAAATGTTTAATTCGTATTTCGCGTAATTGCTTTGTTTTGTGCCGCAATAGTAACTTGGCCCCAGGACATTTCAAAACTCCGCATCCTAATCATCAAAATAAATCAAAAGCTTTTCGAGGCTTTGCTGCATTAGAAACAGAATCAAGTTATAATGACCAACAGTTAGGTAAAGGAGAAGATAAAGAATAATTGAAAATGGTTCAAATGTTCATTTGATGAAAAGAAAGAATTCATACAATGAGTTGGAATATGTAGTTCTACCACGTCTTAAAATTGGCACTGACAGTTTGCATGGAGGAAACAAAGCTGTTAGCAAAATATGAGAAAAAATCCATTGTCAGACATATTTTTTTTACATATTTATCCCGGGGGGAGGGGAAAGACTATACGACAGCTTAATCATATGGTGAATCACAGCCTCTCGTCCAGTGACCAGTCCATGTCGGGTATAGGATCAGTTAGCCAGTTATCTGTTCCAGATGCATGAACTTGATGGTGGAGGAAGCCATCACCGTACAGCGTCAAGGAGTCCAGCAATCCTATGTAGCACATAATTATTCCCACAGGATTCAAACCAACCTTGTTCATGTGCTGCAGCTAAACAAGTGAAAACGTTGCCCTTACCCTAACTAACAAACTTATATATATAATATATTACTACTGTAGAACCATTTTTTAGTACATTGGGTTGGCATAATTGCTGTTTTAAATTGATTCAGTATTGCAAAGTATTTTTTGGCATTTGATGAAAATTTTATGGACATATTTGTAGCCTCATGTTGATGGTAATAAGTCGAATATAACAATTAGTATTCCAGCAAAGTGAGTTTTAATTTTTTATATTGTTTACTTTTCGTTAACAGGCTGTGAAGTTGTCATGCATTGTAGAACTTGCTCAGGAAGCTCAAGTTGATGTGAAATTTGAATTGCCGATTTAAACCATGTTCCTCATACTGTTCAATTGAAAAGAAATATATTATTGCTTCATTATTTTTTTGAGACAACTTTATTTGCAATCCCGTTCCTGAATTGAGTTTGAAGAACCAACCCTTGAGTCTATACTGTCTATACTGTTCATTCCAAACTATATTGTGTTTGGTGTTCATTTCCCATGCTGGTGAAAAATCTCAACTCCATTTGTGCAAATCATACGTTATAATATGTGGGATACTCTGGTTATGTTGATATTTTCTCAATTACCTTGTTTGAAAAAGGCACAGTTATTTTAAGTGTTATGAAATATCTCGATATAGTTCTCTATTGACTCTGTTTTACTAACTGTTCGATAGGATGTGTTGACTCGAACATGTACAACCATTGCTTGTGGTTTCAACAATTCTTAAAGTGTCTTGTATGCTTGGATTACATGTCGTACATTGATTGTCATGTCATTTTTGTTTGCAAGTTGAATTCTGGGGAAGAAAGTATTCAAAGATCAATGGGGGCCTTCTCTATGATTTTCCTAGGATTAATGGTTGGTAATGTTTGGAATGTGGGTAAATATTTCTTACGATTACCACATTCCCGACCTAGCATCTGATTGAGTATAACCTTATTCTGTTTTCTCGAAAAAAACAACAACTAATGTTTCAAACATGGATTTTACTTTCGAGTCTTAAGGTAGGCTATAGTGCGCGATAGGCTTTTTCTCGAAATTTATGAATTTCAGGTCTTTGGTAGGGTAAATCTGACGACACTGGTCAGCTGCAGGGAATTCCCGAGTTACATTGTATAGCGCCGGGCCTTGGGTTCGGAGTGCGGCATGTTTTCATTGGTGATGGGCCAGAATTTCAGACTTACCACGATTGCGATCGAAATTTTCAGCAGAAACTAAAAAAAAATAAAGTTGACTATGCGTTCCTAATAGTCTATTGAACAAGACTTGCATATGCCAAAGTTTTCATAATGAAAATTCAATTTTCTCGGGAGTTCAAACCAGAGTAGAAATTTTCATCAGCCTAGAGTCGGGAGCCTAAGTCAAAATCTTCCTCAAATCTTTTTACGTAGGAGTCGATTGTTTTTGCTTCTCTGCCCAAAACATGACGACACGTAAAACGCATAAAAATTTCAAACAGGTCAACAAGGTGCAGAAAAAAACAAGGATGGTGAGCATAGCCTAAAAAGTTAAAAACGTACATGAGTACGCGGCGCGCCAATCTATCTAATGAAAACAGGGGTGAAAGCATATAAACCACGGTGGTCCAAACCCAGATGTGCCCTGCCACTTCATTATTTGTGACCCGCGTCGCATTTTCGGGAGAGGAAACAAAAAAAATCGCATTTGGTGTTCTTTCGTCATAAAAATCTTTTGACATATTGTTACATCACTAATGTCACTGAATTGATTAGTGTTATGGCAAGCTGAGGCAACTAGTGTAATGAGGTTAAATAATGTGCTTGGTTAGTCTAAATTGTTATCTGGCTATCTATATTTTTGGTCGGGAATATATGCTAACTTTATAGAAAACTAAAAATCAAATGAGGAATCTATTAGCCTAGTTTGGCTATGCCTGATGACTAAATAATAATGTTATTGCCGAACAATATAGTTCCTGCCGGGTGTTTTTTTGCAAACAGCCTGAACAATAAATGCTGCATTTATGTCAGTACATTTAGTAATTGGGATAGGATAGGATTTACATATTTATCCCGAGGAGAGGAAAGCCGATAAGACGGCTTAACCATATGGCGAACCACGGTCTCTCGTTGGGTTGCCATTCCATGTCGGGTTGGGATTATTTAGTTATTTGTTTTCGGTAGCATGGACTTGGTGGTGAAGGAGGCCGTAACCGACCAGCGGTTACGTTAAGCACCTTACGGCGGCGAGGAGCCAACAATCCTCTCGCACATAGCTATTCCCGCGTGGGATTCGAACCTGCGAACCCACGCAGAGTAATCAGAGTAGTACAATATATTTACGATCAGAGATTACCTTTCTGTATCTTAAATTTGGTAAAATTCGGTAACCAATCAATCTGCAGATATTTGTAAGTTATTTTGTAAACATGAGTTTAAAAAAGAAAGCTGACCAATTCAAATAGATTTTTGACTGGATATGAGAGGGAGAAAAAATACCACAATGATTGCTTGATATGTCTGCAAGTTGTGTCTATCGGTGATAATCTAAAACTACATTTTCTGTTTATGGCAATTTCTCCATTATAAGGAGTTTAAAATCTTACACTAAATGTAGATATTACTAAGATTTTTGCACGTTTTAGTGAGTTTTTGGGGGTTTTAGCTTGCTAAATTACAAATAATGATCAATGTGTTCGAACAATAAAAGTGTTTGTTTTGTATTGCACTGTTTACCCATTCGTGACACACGAACAATACAAAATTAGCGGTGTCTTCAAAATGTCGTGTCCCATGTGTACCACTTGTACCACTTGTCCCACTTGTCTCACGTGTCCCACTTTTTTAATTGGGATACATACATTAAGGATATACCGATACCGCTTTTATTGCCGATATCGGTTCCCATCCGATATCGACACGGCTATATTACGGCACTGATAACCCATGTCATAACATCAATAACCAAAATGTTTGTGCTTGCTACTACGAGAAAGCCTATGTTGAATGAAAGAGCGACTCGCGGTTTTACTCAGTTATCTTTATCTGGCCCTCCTGTATTAAAGGTTGCATACCCTTGGTTAAACTACTTAAATCGATTGCACCGTAAATTGCTTTGCAACCTAGTAATGTTTTTCCGCAACACTTTTTTATTTAAACAAACTATGGTAGTTTCTGCAGACGTGTTGTTGCGCACAGGCGCAAGGATTGTGGATTGTACGTCCACAAGTAGGGGAAGGTGGGGTACGTTGGGACACGGGGCACAGTGGAAAATCCGTTCTCACACTCATACTATATCCTGAATCAGGTCCGCGGTTCGTTGTTTAAATCCGGCTTTCGGTAAGTTACAACGTCCCTGCAAACGGACAGCGGCTTTGCTGAGCGACGCAAGCAATGAGAAGAAATTGGTTTTGGGGGATTCAAACTAAAATTTCGCCATCTCATTCTTTTGTTTTTTCGACTTTTGGCTTTCAAACAGAACAAACGACTCTCTGGTATTTTCTAGCTTCAGTCCACTGTGAAATATTCATAACGTTGGCGAGTGGATACGCCTTCCTAATCTCGACTTGGGGCAGTCTGGAAATATTTGTTTCTCATGGTGACAAATGGACCGGGATTCAGTGGGACATGCTCCACTGGGCATAATTCGACAGTGTTTGATCTATTAAATGATTGGAGGTCTATAGATGCGTGTTTTGTGTAATATTAAAGTATCTTCTGGCCCATGGCCAAATATGGAGTATATTCTAGATTTGAGAATATTTTTCAGAGTGACTCAGATTCCAAAAATATTAGATTTCCAAATTTGAAGTCCCGCAGTTCTTTAGATGATGATGCCGATTCATAGCTTATTTGTAACACATACCAGACTGCTCCATTTGCCACAGGGTCTGCCCTATGTGCCCCACAGGTGGGGTGCAGTGGGACACTTGACAAACGTTTTTCAAAGCGTTATTGGTAATATGTGTATCGATAGGGAATTACTTAGTTTCTCAATAAAAACTACAGTTACCCCTCTATCCATTAGCCCTACAATGTCAAATGAATGGGCAGATTATAAAGCTCAAAAAATGAAAAAGAAAAAATGTGTCCCAACCTTCCCCTAAATGAAATGTAGTGTTTAGTAATCGTCATACACAGTGCCGTACAAGTTTCAAGAAATTCAAGAGTAGCGATATTTTAGATTGCGCGTGTTTAGATAGAGCAAGTTAGGTTAGATCGATCCAGTATTACAGTTTATCAAATTAATTCGGAAAGCAGGGCTCTATATGCGAAACGCCATGCAAAGCTTCTTTCTATTGTTGGGATTGCTGTTTCTCGGAAAAGAGATATGACTTTTACGCTGCCTTGACGCGCATCTTAAACAAGTATGAGTCATCAGGCATGTCGTCGATAGCCGGGATGGAAGCCGTTCAACAAGAAAAGAACATGTTAGAAACATACGGCATCAAATTATCTGGTATGAGACAATGCATCTCGCAAGAATCGAAATTGACAGACAATGTTTCCACAATGCTCTTAAAACGACTACAACCAAGTAGCCTATCCTAAATAAATATAATATCCCACTTAAAATATTCGGCGATGGCAATTGTCTATATAGAGCACTTTCTCTTTCGCTATTTGGTTCGCAGAAATGCCACAAATTTTTACGTCTTCTAACGACTATAAAACTGTTAGAAAATCACCATAGATTCGACCCAACCTCACCGCTGTTCATTGACGACATCGATGACAGGAATGTTTTCACATCTGAGAAATTTTTTGAACTTGTAATGAGTGCAGTTAAACTACATGCTTACAGTGAGCTTGTTGTGCACATTTACGCAGCTAGTGCTGCAATTAAACAGCCAATTCAATCATTTATGCCCAGCTGTGGGTTGCTAAACACCAGTGCACCCACCTACACCCGAAAGGTAATTGGCAGGGGCGTACGACGTACGCAGTCTGCGGCTTGCGTCATTATGTGGACAGTCACTACTTTACCGGATACTGACTATTACCGACCTAATCACTTTGTGGAATTGAAATCAGCATCGGAAAAGTGCGTAGCCGAAACCAACAGTTTAGAGATTAAGAAATGTTCGGCGACGGAGAAAGAGATACAATCGACCGGGGACACTTATCATAAAATTGTAAAAAAGTTTTCAAATTCGATCACAAAAAAATCTGAACAATTAGGAGAAGTTTTGCAGTCTCCACAAAATAATATAAAAAGCATAAATTTCGGATATCGACGCTAAGAATTTGGAAATGGAGGAACAGAATGATTTAAAATTGTCCACATGCGATCGACTGATGGATCAGAAGCTTAATTTGTCTGGTACACCATCGCAATCTTTTTCGGCAAAAGTAGAAGAAAAGGTGCAACTGGGGATGAATCATGAAACGACCGAAATGGAAAAGGAGGAGACGGTAACTGAGGACAAATATGGTGTTCTTCTTCCTTATGAAGAATTTTTAGGTTTGCAAGACTGCAATAAAATTTTGATGCTGCAAACTCCAATCAAGGTATGTTTACAAATTCCTCACGGGCCAAAGTCAAATCTGTATTTTTTGAAGGATAATTGTACAAACGTAACTGAAGTCCAAAATGGACATAAAAGAAGTTTTGTTGATGATTGCGGAGCATGGCGTTATACAAATTTTACTGTAACATATTATCAACGCGGTGAAAAATTGAAAATTGTGTATTATAAAAAGGGAAAGTTTTGTAATAGAATAAGAAATGAAAAGCAGAGAGTTTTTGAGCCAATATCTCTTCAGCCATGTGCGGATTCTATTTTAAAATTGGTGAGATATTAT